CTTAAGTAATTATAAAATGAAACAATCAGGAAATCAGCAATACCTTGAGGTCTGAGGTTTAATGGTTGGGCATAGACATTAATTTTTAAAAAGATTATTTTAGCTCAGCTGAATTAAAGTTCTGAATAGGGAATGAGAAAGCAAAAAGTAAAATTATGTATTTAAATTTTACACGTTATTTCAGCTAGTCATATGAGTAAACTATTATAATAAAAGCCATCATTCAGTATATACTGTATGTCAGACACTGTGCTACGGGATTCACATTTCTTCTCATGTAATCTTCACAGTGACTTTATAAGGTAAATATGATTCCCATATTAAAAATGAAGGAAGTGCAGTAGAAAGAGGTAAAACCACTTGTCCAAGATTTCCAGATTTGGAAAACTGTAGAATGGGGAATAAAATGTAGGTTTAGCTAGTTATAAATGTCATTTCTAGTTATTAATTTTTTGAGAATATTTTTTTCAAAATAAAAAACATTTTTGCTGTAGTGTCTGAGAATACATTGGGAGGGGTTCTTCTGGGGTACTTGCAACATTCTGCTTCATGATCTGGGTGGTGGTTACATTGAATATTTCAGTGAGGTGTTCACTTACCACTTGTGTGCTTTTCTGTATATGTTATATGCTATAAAGTGCTTACTTAAAGAAGTGTAATTCATGCTGAATACAGCAAATGTGACAGATGGGTAAGTACAAAGAGGAAATAAATTCAAGGGTCTTTTGTGGTTCCCAGACAAATGTTAGGATTGTTTGTTTTATTACTGTGAAAAATGTCATTGGGGTTTTGATAGAGATTGCATTGCTTTGGGTAGTGTGGACATTTTCACAATATTAATTCTTCCAATCCATGAGCACAGAATATTTTTCCATTTATTTGTGTTTTCTTCAATTTCTTTTCTTAATGTCTTATAGTTTTTAGTATATATATGTCTCTCCTTGGTTACATTTATCCCTGGATATTTTATTCTTTTTGATGCAATTGTAAATGGGATAGTTCTCTAAATTTCTCTTTTTGATAGTGCATTATTAGTGTACAGAAATGCAATAGATTTTTGTTATTGATTTTGTATCCTGTAATATTCCTTAATTCATTTATTAGTTCTAAGTTTTTTGATGGAGTATTCAGGGTTTTATATGTATACTATCATGTCATCTGTAAATAGTGAGTTTTACTTCTTCCTTTCCAATTTGGATGTCTTTTATTCCTTTTTCTTGCCTAATTGCTCTGGCTAGGACTTCCAATACTATATTGAATAAATATAGCAACAATGGACACCCTTATCTTGTTTCTGAGCTTAGAGGAAAAGCTTTCAGCTCTTCTCCATCAAGTAGAATGTTATTTTGGAGCTTGTCATATATAGCCTTTATTAAGTTGAGGTATGTTCCCTTATATCTGCTTTGCTATCATAAATGGATGTTGGATTTTGTCAAATGCTTCTTATGCATCTATTCAGATGATCATGATTTTTATCCTTCATTAGAGGCCCAGTGCATGAAAATTCATGCACTCAGGGGGTTCCCTCAGCCCAGCCTGCACCCTCTCGCAGTCTGGGAGCCCTCGGGGGATGTCCGACTGTCAGCTTAAGCCACAGTCTGGCCTCCCTCTGAGACCAGTGGGCTGATTGAGGGATGGTGCAGGGCGAGTGGCCAGCCCTCCCTTTGCCCATTGGCACCTGCCTTGGCTGGCCTGGTGCCACCCGCTTGCTGGCCCCGGCCCCTGCCAACCAGTAGTTCTGCTGTTCGGTCGATTTGCATGTTAGGCTTTTATTAATAGGATTCTTAATGTGGTGTATCACATTGACTGATTTGTGGATGTGGAACTGCCTTGCATCCATGAACAAAACCCACTTGATCAGTGTTTGATCTTTTTATTTATTTTTAAAATATATTTTATTGATTTTTTACAGAGAGGAAGGGAGAGAGATAGAGAGTTAGAAACATCGATCAGCCGCCTCCTGCACACTCCCTACTGGGGATGTGCCCGCAACCAAGATACATGCCCTTGACCGGAATCAAACCTGGGACCCTTCAGTCTGCAGGCCGCTGCTCTATCCACTGAGCCAAACCAGTTAAGGCTGATCTTTTTAATGTATTGTTTAATTTTCTTTAATATTTTGTTGAGGGTTTTGGCATCTATTTTCATCAGGGATATTGGCCTCTAATATTCTCTTCCTGTGTTGTCCTTGTCTAGTGTTGTTGTCAGGGTGATGCTGACCTCCTAAAATGAGTTTGGAAGCATTCCCTCCTTTTCTATGTTTTGGAAGAGTTTGAGGATTGGTATTAATTTTTTGTTGAATGTTTGTTCGAATTCACCAGTGAAGCCATCTGGTCCTAGACTTTTCTTTGTTTGAGAGGTTTCTGATTACTGATTCAATCTCCTTATAGTACTCTGCTCAGACTCTCTATTTCTTCCTGATTCAGTCTTGGGAAGTTGCATGATTCTAGAAATTTATCCATTTCTTCTAGGCTGTCCAGTTTGACCGATAATTGTTCATAGTAGTTTCTTATGATCTTTTGAATTTCTGTGGTAATAGTTGTAATAGCTCTTCTTTCATTTCTGACTTTCTCTTTTTTTGCGTGTGAAACTAGATGATTTATGGGTTCCTCAAAAGCTACCATTTAGTTTAATTACATTTTATAGTGTTATGAATTTATTTAAATGAATTGTCAGATGTCTTTTATTAGAGAAAAAATAGCTTTTAACATTAAAAGTCTCTAAGATTACTTAAATCCTCCAAAAAAAGAGAAGAAGATGCCGTTGTTGCATTATTGTCCCCTTGGAACTGTTGTAGGTCTGATAAGAGAGGAGGCAACGTTAGTGAAAAGGCCAGTGAACTAGCAGTCAGGAATACTGGTTTCTAGTTTTGCCTGTGCCACTGAATAAAAACCTCATTGTAGACAAGTCTCAACTTCTTTGAACTTCAGTTTCTTGAGCTGTCAAATGAGAGGACTGGGCAGTATCTCAAAGGACACTTACCGCCAAAATAATTATGACCCAGGGGATTCGCCCAGGTATCAAACTTTTATTATAATAGAGAGGGAATTAATGAAACAGAAACATTCACTATCGTAGGCGACTAGAGCTTGCCACTGTTATTGGCAGACACCATGTGTTTCCTGCCCCTTCCACAAGCAGCCATGGGAAGGGAAGCGACAGGGGAGAGGGACAGGATGTCCTTCCTTGACATGTCACTCATCAGCCTATATCTTTACATTTTTTTCATGGCCATCAGATCTGGTATCTCAGAAGTCCTCCCACAGAACACACACACAAAAAAACTACAAATAACTTGTGATGGAGACCAAATAAGTGCTTAATTCCATTTGCATTTGTTATATCCATTTCCAAATGTGTTCCTTTCATTATGGTTGTGGCCTGCACGTACAGTGACATTTCAGGGTCTTGGAGAGGGGTAACATTTGCACAGAAACGGCTGCAGGAACTGCGGCTCCTTTGGGAGGCTGGTGCTGTTGCCCGTTTGCAGGTGAACCGTGGAGAAACGGGACCGGACAAGTGAAAAGGGAGCCGTGCCTGGGAACCTGAGACAGTTCCAGGGAGCAGAAAGGGACTTTGTTTTCCCGGGCGGGCAGCATAGCTTGAAGGCTCCGGGAGGTCGATGATACACTTGCCAACTTCCCGTTGAGGACAGGAAATGTCATTTATCTCAATAGCCCCAGCGACAGATATAACTGGCAATCAAATAGTTATTGAATTGAGTAAAAACTGTGCGGGAATAAGGTGGGGGAAAGGAGGCCGGCATAACATAGCCTCGGATATCTGCAACTTTTAAAGATTTACTGCAAGATTAACCACAAAGGGCAAGCGACTTCAGCGGAGCACTTTTTCAATGAGGTGTCAACAAAGCAGCATAGGAGAGAGGGGCGATCGGAGCTCCTTTTAAGTGAAAACAGACCCCGCAACAGGCTTGAACCCCTGAGTGAACACGGGAGAAGCGACAGCGAGGGGCAGATGGCAGGAGCGAGTGTCTAGGGCGGGAAAACACCCCAGTCGGAGCCGGACGGAGAGGGCTCAGTGCAGGAGCCGGGCCGGAGAAGCTCGCTCTGCGCTTGTTTCCTAACAGAACTGCCAGGAAGCCCTAAGAGAAGTGCAGTTCGGGTGGGTAGACGGGCCTGAGAACTTCCGTGTGTGTGTGTGCGGGTGTGAAACAGGGAGCGCCGCCCGCGCACTTCCGCGTGG